TCCCTCACTAGGGCTGGATCCCGAACCCCCGGTTCCGGAGGAGGTGGCGGAGGATCTCTTATGGGATAGTGGCACCAAGCCTTCTAAAGGATCCAAAAAAGGATCCTTTGGCGTGGAGGAAACTCCTGCTAAGGCAGCGAGAGGATTTTGGGCAACGCTCGGTGCAGCCACAATGGGCTCCAGACCAAAGGCAACAAGGAAGAAATCAGAGGAGAAGCCAAAGCTCATTGAACCAGCAAAGGAACCTGAGCCCGAATCAGAGCCAGAAACTGTACCTGTACCTGTACCTGCCCCGGAGCCTCCTGCTGATTTGCTTGTGGACATGCCTGAAGCGCCTGAGCCGCCTGTCATTGACGAGCCAGCCGCTCCAGCCGCGCCGCCACCTAAAAGCACATCCAAGACCAAGTCATCTGCCAAGCTCTCGGTTGCGGAGCGCATCAAAGCTCTCGAGCAAGCCAAAAAAGAGAGGCTGAAGGAGAAAGCAAAAGCTAAAGAGACCGCACCACCACCGGAACCCCTTCAGGAAGAACCTGCCGTAGAGATCCCGCCTGAACCTGTCGAAGAGCCCAAGATTTCTCGGGAGTCTGTGCCGGGAAGCTTCCCAGACGCTTTTGAGGACGACTTCCAGGAGCCTCCACCTCCTGCTCCCGAACCCGAGCCGGAGCCATCGCCTGATCCACCGCGTGAGCCTGAACCAGAGCCAGAGCCAGAGCCGGCTCCGGCTCCGACTCCTTTGTCCAAAAAAGCCGAGAAGAAGAAAAAGAAGAAGGGTAAGCTCGTGGAACCTGAGCCTGAGCCAGCACCAGCACCAGCGCTTGAGCCAGAGCCGAAGCCAGAGCCGGAACCTGTGCTGCCTGAGCCTGAACCTGAACCAGCACCTGAGCCTGAGCCTGAACCTGCACCTGCACCAGTACAACTCTCAAAGACTGAGAAAAAGAAGAAAAAGAAGGCCAAGGCAGTCGAACCAGAACCCGCACCACCGGAACCTGAACCTGTTCCTGAGCCCGAGCAGCAACCGGAGCCTCAGCCAGAGCCAGAGCGGGCGCTTGAGCCCGAGCCCGAGCCCGAGCCTGCTGATGAGCCTGTAGAGCCGCCTGCCCAGGAGTTAAAGACCACTAAGAAAATTAAGAAAAGCTCCAAGTCCAGAAAGGCTGAAGCAACTATGGAGGTGCCCCCAGCTGAAGATGTACCCGCTGAAGCGCCTGGTGCAGATGCTGGTGGTCCGCCTACTCCTCCACCGGAGCCCGCGGCACCAGAAAGATCAGCGAAGAAAGAGCGTGCTCGAGTTGAGCGAACTCCAGGTGTTACTTCATGGGGCTTCTGGGGTGCTACTCCCACTTCTAGGAAATCAGCCCATAAGGAGGTCAGGTCTAGCCGAAGGGAGCCTTCACCCGGCGGAGTCGTACGGTCAAAGTCCACCAGACATTCAAGGCGAAAGGAGGTGCCTTATGAGGCGGAGAAGTCCTCTGGTTCTGACAGAGACAAACGACGAGGAAGCAAAGAGGACCGAGCGACAGCCTTCTCCAACTTCATCCTTGGCGGTCCGCCTGCGCCGACCAGAACGAAGTCGTCACGTAGACATGGGGCGTCCGCATCTAAGCAGGCATCTAGGCGGCCGTCCATCGACATGAATGAGGCCGCATTCCCGACACCTCCACCAGACGAGAGATTTGAAGTGTCGGACAAAGCAGCGAGGATGATGGGAGTTGGTGCATCGAGGCACAGGGAAAGACCGCGTGGGACGCGGAGAAGATCCAGTAAGTTAACAGACCCGCAACCCTCTTAGGAGACATCTAATATGACCTTCAGGCGTGCGTGATCCGTACGCCATTGATGACGATATTGTTGTGGTCGATCGGGATGAGGTAGACGGCCATTCACCGAAGGAAGACTCGAGAGAATCCCGGGACTCCAGAAAAAGATCCAGTAGAAAGGTGAATGATTATCATTCTAAACCATATATTTATTGTCGCACCGTTCACAAGTCTAATATTCTCATTACACCAGTCGCGGTCCAGAGCCTATGAATTTCAGGATGATGCGGTTATGGTCGAGCCAGATCAAACCCACCAAGGGCCAGATGTAGTGTCGGGTCCGGATGATCTGGCATTCGTGGAAGCACCGAGGGAACGACGCGTAAAGCGCTCTAGTACCTTGCCGAAAAAACAAGACACTGGTGGTTTCATGGGTCTCCTCGACTCGCTGCGAAGGAACACACGTCCTGAAATGCCAGATCGTCGGAAATCTCGCTCTTACCGTGATGAAGATGCAAGGTACATGACGGAACCAGAGCGAGACGAGGGCCGACGCTTGAGGCGAGAAGAAAGGAGGCACCGCTCCATGAAACCTGATATCGACGCCGAAGGCTTCGTTACCGATGGCGGGCCAGTCGGAGGCATAGCAGGCGCAGAAGTGGAGGAAGCCGAGGCTAGGAGAGCGGCACGTCGATCACACCGCACATCACGCCATGCGCCTTCTGCTCAGTATCGGGAGGATGAGACTCGAGAAGCCGAAGAAAGACGGGCCAGGCGGAAAGAGCGAGAACAAGCTCGCGAGCGCGAGATGTACGAGAGGCAAATCCGAGAAGACGAAGAGAGAGAAACAAGACGTCGAGAGGAAAGGCGAGCCCGACAAGCGGCTCGCGAAGCACAGCGTGCCAAGGAGGAACAAGAGGCCAGGGAGGCAGAAGCTCGCGCTGAAGCTAAAGCTGCAGAACGGCGGGAACGGAGAAGACAGCGGGAGGCAGAGATGCTTGAAAATCCAGCATACAATTCAGGATCCAGGCGGCGCCCTCCACGTGCTTTTGAGAGGGCACCGGAAGATTACTATCATGACCACCGTCATGATGTGGAACAAAGACCTCGACGGTCTCACCGATCCGGAGACGAAGGCGAGAAATCGAGACGGCGAAGGTCGAGAGCCCCGGAGCCGGTCAGACCTCCCCCTATGATGTCTGGGGCTCGGAGGGATAAGACCACGACCTGGGTCGATTCGCAGGCGGTTAATCCTCCTGAACCCCCTCCAATTGTGCCAACAGTGCTCGATGTGCCACTTCCTCCGGGCGACCAAAACGCACACTCCATCTCATCGGACGAGGAGGCGCGACGTGCTTTGCGCCGCCGGGCTCGCCGCCGGGCCAGATACCCGGGCCTCAACGATGATGAGATCGAAGAGCTGCGCGCAAGGAAGCGCGAAGCTCGCCGATCTGACCGTGCGAAAAGCAGCTCTGGCAGTGGAGATTATGAGCGGGACCGTGGGATGAGGTCGTACGACGGCCGCTATCCTCCTGTGCCGCCGCCTAGCTCTGGCGCAAAGATGTCCAGTTGGTTCAAGAAACTGACCAATCTATAATGCTTGCTAGGGTTACTACATTATCGACAGCAAATACTGGGACGATTTCAAACTTATGATTGAAATGACGGAATGAATTTGGACGATAGAATGACCATTGACGACGATATACCTCGAAAGGCATGATACAATTTATGAAATTCAATATATCGCAGACTTGGAATAGTTTGTGTGTATAATCAGCGATGCAATTCATTCTTTACTCTGCTCCCTCTTGGCCAATATGTTAAATGAATCCATGCTATGGTGCAGAACGGGTTCTCTACTCTATAAACCAGCTCAGGATGCTCTAAAGATGCCAAAAATCCCAAGCGAATCGATTGAAACAAAACCAGTGATGCCCAGAATCGAGCTTCCAGTTCCACATACTGACTAGATGGCAGCCTCTTCTTTCGATCCACCTACTTCAACCCGTTTGTCCAGTCCATCTTTCTCCCGCCGTCTATTCTCTAAATAGAACCTTCCCCCTTCGTACATGCTCAGATACATACTGAGCGAGACAGCCGTCCACGCAGCGCGAATTGCACCACCCTTGAAGAGACCTTTGATCCCTTCATTGCGAAAGATCTCCTTACCCACTTTGAGCGTTCCCCGGCCAGCCGTCTTCTTCTTCGTGCTTTCATTCCCATCACCATTGTTATTACCACTAGCCGCAAGCATCATCCTCGTCTTGATCACATCAATCGGGGTCGTCACGACCGAGGCGATCATCCCGGACGCGGAGGCTGACAGCCCCGTCAGGGCCGCCCTCTCCACCAGCGGATTCCACTCCCGCGTCCGTACCCCATCATCCTCCTTCCTCCTCTGCCTCCAATCTACGAGATGCGACCTGAAAAACTCAAACATGGGGAAATTCAGCCCCGTAAAGGGCAGATTGCGCCCCACCAGCGCTGTGTACCCGCTCCACAGCTTCCAGGGCCGATGCTTGAACCGAGCGATAACCTGCGCCGTGGCGTTCTTCGCTGCTCGCCTGCCCTTGCTGGGGTTCACGTTGACGACCTGCGCGTTCTGCTTTAGGACTTCGGCGGGCGTCATCATGAGGCAGGCGACCATTTCCGCGGTGGAGGAGGCGATTGCGTGGATGACGGGTTGGGGCAGGGAGTGTGTGAAGGGGAGACGGTTGTCGTCCTGGTTTTGGCGGTGCGTTGAGGCGTTCGTCAGGGTATATTTGACCGCTTCGTAGGTGGTAAAGAAGGCTCCTGCTGTTTCTTCATTGGGTTTCGTTCAGGCCTGGTACACAGAGGGATGAGAACATACAGCCTGGTATTGTGGAGAGGACCACGCTCCAAACCCCCTGGTATAAACCTCGATAGAGGGCCTTTCGGCGCACTGCTCCTGTCGCTGCATCCTTGTAGAGTCGGTTGTAATCGGGCGATTGGACTCTGGTTTTGAGGGTGTCGAAGGGGTAGACGATGAAGTCTACGGTCACTGCAGCAAATGCCCCGGCCTGCAGAACTATCTTAGCGTGCAAGTATGTAAGATAGTCGGTGTTAAATTGAAACGAATGTTTTGCTCGAGTATACTAGTATGACGTATACAAGCCCAGTATGGAGGAGACTCACAATCCAGATGTCGAAATTACTGTTGTACATAGAGAATGCTGCGGCAAAGTCTTCTAGAGTTCTGTTATGATTCTATGAAATGCAAGAATAAGAAAAAGGGAAATATCGAAGACCATAAATGCATGACTGTTAGCTCATTGTAGCTGTCGCATTCATGTTCCTGGAGATGTCTATCTTATCTAATCGGGTTATCGATTGCAACGATACATCATGAGGTCATCATTGCTCACGTGCGAGAAAATGCCCTAGCGAGGTTAGGGTATGGTACTTGGTGCATTCAAGTGCCTGTCGATCTCAAAACAGACAGCGTTTAGAAAAGTCCCAGAACAGTAGGCTATACGTCAATTCAGAAGGGATGTGCTTTCAGGTCATACCCGTAACTCTATTCGTCAAATGGAATAAGCAAACAGGAGACATATTAACAGTCGAATATAAGAATTTTTCCTGCCTACGCCGTAAGGTCATGCAAGTCCCAAGATCCCCATAGGTTGAGATAAATCATCACGAGCCCGACCACCCGCCTAGTTGGCGGTCTCTCCGGGCAACAGGTTCCCCTTCACCGCAAACATCTTTCCAGTTGTGGACGAAACAAAGCTGTCAATCTGGCGCGAGTACTGATCCACCTGCCGGCTGTTCAGCATGCTCTCGAGGCGGCTAGGCTCTTGGGGCAGCTTGAACAGGCGCTGCCACTCATCCTCCGGCAGAAGAGGCTGCTTGAGCGCCGCGCGAGTAGCGTTCTCCTGCTTGCGCTTTTGCTGCCAAGCGCTGATTCTCTGCTGCTCGCGCGCGAGCGAGCGCTGGTAGTACTGGAAGTTGTTGGTCTCAGTGTGATGAGTCTCGATGCTGTCCAGGAGCAGATCGCAGTTCTTCTCCAGGAAGGGGTCGATGCTAAGAGTGAGGTTGTCGTAGTTGGGGGCGAGAATAGACGACTTGACGAAGGGGCCGGATTCCAGAGCGGCCAGCGATGGGGGAAGATCCGTAGGAGCCGGAATGTTGGGAGTCTGAAGCTGGTGGATGAAGGAGGTGATCAGGTGAGAGTTGTGGATCTCCACAGGAAGTTCGACAAAGATATCCTGGTATCTCAGGCCGGACTTTTGCAATCTATCATTCAGTTAGCATCACAACGTTGTCATCGTCTAAAAAGCGTCGTGTTGAAGATGCAAAATTGTAGACATACTCCTCGGAGGTAAATTTGTTCTCCTTAAAAGCCGTCATGAACTTGGGAGACAGGCGAAACGCTCTGAGGCTCAGGCTTCCCTGAGAGCTACGGCTGACGTCGTGCACGAGGGCTACTGTCCTCTCGTTCATTTCCTTCTGGTAAAAGAACTGGTTCTCGATCACGTTCATGTTGACAAAGTTGCCCATGTTGGCACTGGTATACCAACCGACGTTGTTGGCGTCCACGTTGACCTCTCGAAGCATACGGATCATCTCCGCCTGGTAGACGGTATTGGCTTTAGCGCGAGGAGCGGCGGCAGCAGGGTTGGCAGCAGCGTTGTCAAAGTGCGACTCGGGAGGCACCTCGACGACGGGGAACGGGAAGCTGTTTGTGATCTCCAGGGTTCCACCAACATCCATACCAACGATCGAACCGGTCGCTGTCGTCGGGAAAGTTTGAGAGCAGTGCTTCATAATCTTCATTACCACCTGTAGACGCGTCGCATGAGTATAAATTCTTCATTGACCAGCTTGGACAAAGCGGGGTGGGTTTTTTTCTGGGGCAGATGATCATACCAAGGCCTCGACCTTGACGGCCGTGAGGGGGGTTTCGTTCCTATTTGAATCCATCAGTCAAAGACATTTGATAGTATTCCCGCGATATCATCACTTACTCCGCCATGTTGGATATAGCAGGCTGGGGAATGCTTTTGACAGCGACGATGGTTGATAGCCGGCGTTGGTTTGTGTGGATGAATTGAACAATTTCCCACCGCCTAAGGCCAGAATAGGTTTAGCGTGCCAAGACACCCCTGGGTATAGAGACGACAACATCACTTTGCGATTCCTTCATCTACTAGGTGTGTCTCATTATGGATAGATTTGTGACTAATTTCTCTATCGCATTGTTGATGGTACCCGTGGACAGAACTTATCTGTCTTAAATGCGCACAATCATGATGGTCTGAACTCGGAAGTAATGAGCCGCTACACCATGAGAGACCATGTCACTAGTAATCGGCAGTAGCTATGCCACTTCGGCCCCTCTTGATCGATAAGCCACTTTCTATCTTTCTTGACATTGGATGTACTTGAACAGTATATCGAGGACGACCTCTTAGGCTCAAATATAACATGAAAATGCCTGCAGAAACACTTCAGTATGGAGATCACAACCTCCAAACAGTGACTATCTCCACCGTATCAGACGGCCTCAATGCAGGCTATTGGGTGATGTATACAACCCAGAACCCCCAGATCTCAAGAAAGTCTTGATTGACAATACGGTGGGCAAGACTGATCCACGGCGGAGCCTGGAGAGACCCAACTCAAACAGCCGCCTCGTACCTCGCCCCGGCCGAGTCCATCCTCACCACATCCCCAACGTACACCTCCACGACCCTTCCGCACATCGCAGCCTTCGCATCGATCGAGTACCGATTGAGTGCCCATCCGAGTCACCCACAGAGTCCCGATCACACTGATCCTACTGAATACCGCAATGCCAAACATCCCGACCATATTCGCGACGTGCAAGCAGCTCTGGATCTTCTGCAGCGCAAGTATGGGTTCGGAACCAAGTATATCCTCGTCGGACATAGCGCTGGTGCGACTTTGGCATTCCAATCCGTGATGGGGGTGTTCCGGGACAGCACTGCTGCTGTTGTTTCTCCTCCAGCGGCGATACTGGGGATGGCGGGTATCTATGATTTACGACTTCTGCGTGATACTCATCGGAATATTTCTGCGTATCAAGAGTTTATCGAAGGGGCCTTTGGTTCTGACGAAGCGGTGTGGAATGCGGCCTCCCCTGCGTCTGTGACAGGCACCGATGGAATTGAGGGAGGATGGACGTCTGGTCGACTGGCGGTGCTGGCGCACTCGCCTCAAGATGGGCTTGTGGACGCTGCCCAGCAGCAGGCCATGCAAGCTGCACTAAGTCGCTGGGAGAACAGCGCACCGCAAGGTAGTGGCCAGAGAAGAGTTGAAATGCTCTCTCTTAAAGGTGATCATGATGACGCCTGGATGAAGGGAGACGAGCTGGCAAGGGCCATTGCTCATACATTAGCAGAGTTACAGAAAGAATAGCGTTGCCTCAATAGTGCTAGATTATGTTCTGGTTCGAGTCTCTACTGACTTGTCCTACGCTACGATACGACAAGATAGAGAAGATGGTCAAAGAAAGCGTCTGCTGGGCTATCACAAGTCATTTCATGAATTTCGCCAATTCCTGCTTCATCTCGATTGACGTCCGGAGGGATGTCCTAGAACAAGGCAGAGTGTGAAAGTAGTACACATTAGAAGGGAAAGGGGGGAAGCCGTTTTCAAAACTCGCCAACGCCCACCCAGTGTTCATCATCATGATTGTCAATTACATGTAAAGGGAAAATGAAAACTCCGTAATACGCCTGGTATTCGGTTAAAACCAGCTGGTGGCAAAGTATCAGAAAGATGAAGAGGACCGTTCGCACTCGGCGCGATTTGCGATGGTCGCGAAGCGCGACGCGAGATGTGCGGAGCTCCTTTGGATAGATGGTGAAGGGCGATTCAGTTGCCCAAGTCCATACGACCCGAGGCAGCATCACCCAAAACCTTCTCTTCCTTGACTTCAGAGACCTGGTCTTCACCCTCAGAGTCTTCCTCATCGTCATCCTCCACCTCGCTGTCTTCGGCGTATTTCACCTCGACACCGGCTTCGTTAAGACGGCTTCTCATTTGCTCACGATAGCGATCCTGCCAGCGGGCCAGAGCGGCACTGGCATGCACGCGGAAACCGTAGATACGAGGTTCATAGCGGCGAGTGCTCTTGGGGGGAACCAGATTGGGGAACACCTGGAAGAAGATGCTATGGAAAGAAGAACCGAAGTAGGCGCCGTCGATAGAGGAGTGACGAGAAGACTTAGGATTGTAGATATCCTCGCACTTGGCGCAGTAGAGTCTGACAGTGCTCTGATTGGCAATATCGTGCAAGCCCATCGGGAGGAGGTGCTGTCCTTCGCACAAAACGCGGGGGCATTTTCCGAAGTCGCCATTTTTGTACTTTTCAGCCTAAACAAGGAAAGAAGAGGTCAGCTATAGAGCCCACAATCAGACATGGTGTTCTGGTGACAATGACACATACCATCTTGCCAAGACCACGAGTAGTGACAATGTATCTAGCGTGAACGAGGCCGTAGAGATGACGGGCGGACTTCTCGATTTGCTCGCGTAGATCATCATCCGCATCGAGGTCAAAGACGTCGGTCACAAGGTCCAGCGCATACTGGTAGTAAGGAACTTCGGTGTTGAGGCCGGTAAGATTGAAGCGATCGGTCAAGTATTCCTCGTCGATCTCGCAGAAATATTCGTTTCCGCGGGAGGAGATAAACTGCGTGGTATACTGTGAGCAAGGCATCGGAAATGGAGGATGATTGCGTCCCCAGAAACAGAGGTTGTAGAATCTTTCATTGGATTCATTGCCCCGAGCCTGAGCGAAAAGGTCCTCACTAGTCGAAGACTCGGCCATCGTGAAAGGGTGGGGTTAGGATGTAGAGGAGGAGAAGGGGTAGTGGATGCGTGATAGAATGATGCTGGTGTGCATGAGGTGAAATTGAGCACCACCAAGCTCTCTAGGAGAGGCCTGACAGTTTTCACCAGCCGCAATCGCATCGTTACAAGTTTTCACTCGGCGTCACCACTGAGGGCAGCCACGACCCATCTCCTCAGATCAACACCCAAGCCGCATCACCCTTCCAACAGTACCTAGGTTTGAAGGAAACAGATTCAAACTCACCCAATCTCTCCAGTAGCTAGTGTAATCACTATCAGTCTCACTGTTGAAGTCCTCCATCATGTTTTCAGTTTTGACTCAACGAAGAAATGAGGGGAAGGAAGTGGTGTTGGTTTGCTCTGCCTGTAGCAGTTACTGAGAGAAGGCTGGATTTGGCAGCCCCAGAGCAACAGAGCTCCCAGAACTGTACAGCTATAGAAGACTCTCCTCAGAGCATAGAAAAGCCAGTTCTCAAAAGGTGGACAGCGATCAAAGTGTTAGGAACAGAGAATGTGAGATAATGTCAGATAGTAGTCGCAGTGTGTCTCTCTTCATTCTGTTCGACTGTTATCAGTGGATCACACTCTTCTGGTTAGCGCGGGGTTGGCGGTGACCATTTTGCCTGACTTGAATCACCGCCTTCATCATTCTCTTTCTAGACGCTGATAGGTGATGGGAGTGGTCTGTGTTCTTTGCATTACGCCTAGAAGAACCTGAGGAGAGAAGTTGCATATCTTGATCCACATGATATTCTGAGGTCATGGTCATTAACTGAAAGTGCTATATACAGAAAGCTTCTGCTGAGAAGAATATATACAAAGAGATTATCGATTCAAACTGTCCAGTGAGCCTCTCGCCTTGTCTAGAACAAGGGGTTGCTGTTCGTGAGAAGCTGTTCAAAGTAGGCCTGTGTTCTATTCGTTAGCACAGCCACAATTTTGGATGGGTTTGCCTTGAGAACATACCTGGAACCAGGTGCCGGCTTCAGGGGCTGGCTTGAGAGCGTCTTGGAGTCCACAGCGTATCGTAGCGTTCAGCAGAGGTGTCCGAAGTGTCATCACTCTCACCACCGGGCTTAACCCAGACGAAAGCATCCACCAGCTCGTCTCCCGTGTCAGTGGTAGGCCGGACTCCGATGCCTACGCTGCTGATCGCAGGCTGTCCCTTACTATCCAGCAGATACGGGAGGGAAAAATGGTAGCCTATCCCTCGATACTACCTTGTGTCCTTGGCTCATCAAGACCCCAGTCTAGTCCCTCCCCTCAAAAAGAAAGGGGGAAAGCGAGTGCCAGCCCTTTGATTCTCGATAACAAGAGTTCAGCATCAGAAACGCCTTCAATGACACAACAGGAACCAAAAGACTCCCTCCCGGGTACCAGACGCGGACCAAGTTCAGCTGGTAAAGACCTTGACAGCCACTACACCACATATCTAGTACATATAAGACAATTTCACTGACCCAAGTGTTCGACCAGTTCTAGCGACATGTTCTAACATTGTCTCCGCGCTTCTTATCCTCTCCACCTTCAGCCCCGAACAGACAATCCAGGCCAGGCTTAGTATGTTGTCTATTTCTTGAAAATGTTTCATTTTGCAAAGCATTGATCATGATGTTAATGATTTATAGTAAAATTAACTGCTGCTGCTGTACTTACCTGTGTTGTGCACACCTATCTCCTCTGCTCCTCCCCTCGAGACCAGCAGAGACTATCATCCGTTATACTGGCTCTAATAAGCGGTCCTCTGGCGATTTATCTGGCTCTACTGACGCTTTGGTGATGAGAAGGCGGGGATGAGGGTTTTTCCATTGCAACCACATCATTCCATTAAATCTATAATTTATATCTAGATAAATCTTCAAACACGGTATCCGAGGCGATTTTTGGTTGACTCCCGGATAGAACCGGAGTATAGTAATATTAGAGCATTTGTTGTCTCGGCACTTAAATTGGCTGGCGTGATTAGGCTCACAGAATAGGCCCTCCAGCCTACGGAGTAGTCGAGATACACTTGTAGTGACTGCTACAGCCAACAGTAGGTATGGCCGCAAAAATCAACTATTCGACTCGATGGATATTGTCCAAACTACGGAGGGACTTGCTGAATATTGATTTGTCAATTAGATTTGAATATGTTACCTATGAGATAAGAAAAGAAACGACTGTCAAAGTCTGTGAGATCATAGAACGACAGAGAAGAAAAGAAAATCACTTAACGAAAGTGCTCGGCACGATCACAATCAGCTAAGAACCTGTGGATGCCTTCGACTCCTTCGTACTCTGACGCGCTTTCAGGGAAACCGGCGCTGGAAACCTCAGGAAAGAAGGCACGATCGCCGAGTTCGCTGACGTTGATGCTGGAATATCCTGAAGAGGATGATACCCAAGGATTCTTGTCGGCAAAAATTGGAGAATCTTCGAAACTAAACCCATTGCTCGACTTTCGAGGATTCTCAGGCGAGTAACCTGTCCCATCCTCGGAGGTCATCATTGCCTGCCAATCGACTTCATCAGGAGATTGTCCCTTCGATGCTTCTTGTCGGAAAAAGAACTCAGCCACATCATCCGAAGAAGCCGATACGCTAGGAGCAAATGGGAAGAGGAGAGCGAGATCAGCTCCTGTCCGGAGGTTGAAGTCCTCATCCTGGCTAACCCGTCCTCGCTGTACACCGACCTCGTCGCATAGTCGCTCAACCGTCTCAGCATCGCACCCTGGAAATCGTACTCGGATGGTCGACCTGTCATGTAATAAGATAGGCAGATCACCCAGCGTGGACAAACGCTTGAGATCATTAAGCACGGCAGCCAAATCTTTCAAAGCACGTGCAACGTCGGCAGATAGGAGGGACAAGGTGTCCAAGTTCAGTGTTTCCAGGTCGTGAACACCGGCAGAGGCAGCCTTTTTCTGAAGTCCAAAAGCTGTGATGGTTGGAGAAATCTGAAAGTCGATGAAAGAACCGGGAGCCATGCGAGAGATCGCTGCCATTTCACGCTCAACCCGATCTTGAAGCACGCTCACAGCCTTGTACCTCTTCTGTCCCGTGATAGGGTCGATGCCGTCAAATCTGGCTTTTTGGCCCGAGAGGAAGAAGGCTCGCACACCCATTGACACATTGTTGATAACCTGCGCAGCAGAAGCTGGACCATGCGAGAAATAACGGGCACCACCAATACGTCCAGCACCAATGACATAGCCTCCAGCTGTGCGGCCAAGGGTGCCGCCGGTCAAGTTAGGGCGGAGAGTCGACGCAAACGGGGCACGACTAGTCAAGCGACCGACATTAGCTGCAACACGGGAGGAACGATACGCTGCGCGTTCCCCATGCAAGCCATTTTGAAGAGAGGAAACGAAGGAGCTTGCAGCGCGAGTAGAGAAATAGCGATTGCTGCGGGATTGGCGGATAGCGGCAGCTCGGCTAATGGGCTGACGGGTAGGAATACGTGCATAAGCTGGTTGAAGCCGAAGCGAGACTTGTTGAGCTGGCTCAGGAAACTTTGCCTTGAGGGTCTTCAGGGCCTTCTCATAGGCAAACCTGAGAGAGGTTAGACTTGAAGTATACCACTTCATGCAATGAAGCGAACTTACCTTGCTGCTCTCCAGAATTTCGGGAGCAACAGGTGCCCACTGGAAGGCGGCATCCTGGTGATGATGGAAAGGGTGCTTCTAAAGAAGAAAGGTGGATGGAAATATCATCCTCTTGATGAATTGATGATGGGAGAACGGATGATGAATGAAGGTGCCTGGGGATCGGTGACTCCGCACCGTGGTGGCGGTGCAGCACCTGATCTGCTGACGCCACGTGCTTATTGTTAGAGAGATCTTGCCACTGACATCTAGATATGAGAATTAATTTCGAGTTGGACACTTCACATCATCTATTTGAGGTAAGTCGATCTGTCACACTTAATGATAAGGATTATCCCACTGTGAATGCTGGAGAGGAAGAGCGTTGAAGATTCAGTTCAAACTAAAATTGACTGGAGTTATGGTGATAAGCTTGGCTTGTAATCTCTCTAAATAACTCTCAATAATTGAGCGGATATATAAAGCAATTCTATCTATCAATTGGATATCTAGACATGTAAGCCACGCAGCGATATTTCACATGATATGGGCATCATAAGTTAGGAAACATTTACTCGTCATCACCAAAGAAAACCTTGACGGGCAGCCAGCTGTCACCACAGACCTTGAAACGGTCCTTGAGGTTATCCAATTGATTTACCTCGTCGGCTGTGAGATCCCAGCCATCGAGCTCAAAGTTGGTTTCAATGCGCCCCTTGTTGACAGACTTTGGGATCACACTCCATCCTTTCTGTAGACCCCACTGAAGCAGAACCTGCTGAGGGGTCTTACCCTTCTTTTCCGCAATCTGCAAGAGAGTTTGATCCTTATACAAAGGAGAGTTGGTTGAGCCGAGGCAAGAGTAGCCGGTAGAATGAATGCCCTTGGAAGTGTTGTAGGCCACTAGTTTAGGCGAGGGGTTGTTTGGGTGCAGTTCAATCTGGTTGACTGCGGGGACAATCGTGGTGCTGGGATCATTGAGAAGCTTCTCAAGGTTTCTGATACCAAAGTTGGAAACACCAATGTTGCGGACCTTGCCGGTGGCAGGCAGTTTCTGCATCTCTTGCCTAAGGTACTTGTTATTATAACACCCTTCCTTGATGGAAAACTCCGAAGGCTTACCATGTCTTGACGAAGTCCCAGTCAGGAAGATGCTTGGACTTGTCGTTAGGATCAGTCGAGCTGGGCCAGTGCATAAGGTAAAGATCGACGTAATCGACACCAAGGCTCTTGAGAGACGAGTCAATTCCCTCCTGGACACGGTGATGCCATGTGTTATCGAGCTTGGTGGTGATCCAGATCTCTTCGCGGGGAATACCCGAGTCCCTGATGCCCTGGCCTACTTCAGCTTCGTTACCGTAGGCGAGGGCACTGAGATTGGTCAGTCCGCACAGAACTTCTATGACATGATGAACAGAGACACGATCAACTCACGTGTCAATATGGCGATAACCCTTCAACAGAGCAATCTTGACGGCCTCTCTGACTTCGTTGGGCTTAGATTGCCAGGTACCGAGACCGATGGCGGGAATCTTGTCGCCAGTGTTCAGGGTGTAGGTCTTTCTACAGATTGGAAATGTTAGCGAAGCAACTCTCTTGCACATCACCTTCTCATGATCACGTACTTCGTATGCTCGAGAGTCGACATTTTGCGCGAATGAACGAAGAATATACTAGCTGATGTTCTGGATTGGAATGTAGCTGCAGCAGGGAACGATGCTCTCGGGACAGAACATGGAAGACAAGGGGTGAAAGAGGGATTTATAAGCTGCTTTGAGCTCCGAGCCACGAGGAACCGCATGGTTAGGCAGGTCCAAGCAGGACGCTATGACGCTATTGCCCCTCTTCAAAAGAGTGGGGGGCATCCCTAGATATGTCTGGCCAGCATAGGAGCAATTATCCGAGCGGTATGCCTCTTTATCCGGGCATTCTTCGTTTGAGCAATAGCAACACCTATCGAAAGACAAGGTTTGAAGATCCCTTGCAAAGAATGGCATCTATCGATTCAATCGTTAGTCAGCGAGGACGAGAGGTCAGGAACGTCATAAGCATTTCAGTTTCAGCCTGTAAACCATCTGCACGATTTGGAGTAGCCCCAGCTTATCTGGGCCCTGGGACCTCGCAATGTTGCATTGGCAAAAGTCCGGTGAGTGGGCCTGCATCCACATACATTTTGCCTAAAATGGATTGGATTAAGAGAGTACAAGGCGGTGATGGCAACAATGGTTAGTTCACCGCCTTGGTTTCTGCCAGTATATCACAGAATTACCACAAAGCAAGCTCAAGAATCTCTTTCACCATCAGCGCCGAACGACGCAACTCTGCTAAGCTCGAATATTCCTGAATCAGGTATCTCTATCGATTGCTGAATACAACAGACTTTTCACGTATTTGGTGTCACACCTGCATTACTCCTAGAGTAGCCTGCATTTACAGACACGAAGCTTCCCATCTCAAGGGGGAAAGTCAAGATGTCGTCCGGTTTCGTGTCTGCCGGAACCGATCAGGAGCCAGTAGAGCGTGATGATGAATGGCGTCGAGTACAGCAGGAATTGGAGGAGGAGCGGAGACGCAAGGCGGAGTTAGGCAAGCAGGAGGGTGGGAAAAGTCTGTATGAGGTCTTGCAGCAGAACAAGAGTAAGTTACCACATCTCGCTAAGGCAGCTTGCGGCTCTCTTGAACAGATGCCATTTGGGCTGACATGTTAGGGTGATTGTTCTGCTGCGTAGTGGCCAAGCAGGAAGCCTTTGAAGAGAAGATAAAACTCAAGAACCAGTTCCGGTCTCTGGACGAGGATGAAGTGGAGTTCCTCGACTCCATTATGGAGTCGACGCGGGCCCAAGAAGCGGCCGTGAAGAAAGAGACCGCAGAACAACTCGAACTATTCCGTCGGCAGCGAGAAGAAGCAGAGAAAGCTCTGTTAGAAAACTCATCAGCAGATGTAGTGCCGTCCACCGAAGGAGAGGACTGGAAGATTCCTGCACGGAAGAGGCGACGGGATAAAAACAAAGAACTCCTGATACCTGGCAAGAAACGGAAATCCGTGATTGAAGGCGCTGCGGAACAGCCTTCGCCCAGCGAAACTAAACCAGAGGCTCCCAAAAAGCAATCTCCTTCGAAAGACAGCAAAACACCAGCCGCTGTTAGAGAACCGCCGATTGCAGAGGATGCCAGGACGACGAAGTCTTCGGGGACCGCGTCTACGCCAGATACGCAAGGAGCGAATGCAAGTCCGCCAGCAGCACCAGCAGCAAAGTCATCTACATTGTCCCTCGGGTTAGCCGGGTATAGTTCTGACTCTGAATGAATACGCATCTCAAACTTATTCACACAGTAACTACATTTGTTTGGTTGGAATAGTTTCTCCATCTGTCTTGGAACACTGGCATGTGAAATTATCCAACAGACACCCGGTTAGGTTCCACCTCCAAGGAAGCAATTTATTAAACTTCTGTTGAATACAGATGGCAATGCTGCGTTACGTTCTTCTAGTTGCAGTCAGGCACTCAAGGAAACACATAATTATTACTCATACTTGCTGTTCATCATGACGCCTGAGACATGGGTCAAAAAGCTAACCTGCTTGAATAGACCACGGACATTTCTCGATTCGTTGACAAAATATCAACGAAAAACCAAAATACCAGACATCCTCGCCCCATCTCAGACATACATTGCTCGATCAACGTGCCATGGGGATGTGGAAACAGCTTGTTTCTCACTCCCCGACTAGCGGCATTCTTCTCGTCATTATAGAAGTTTTCACTCTTTGTGCGTTGCAAAAGCAGCCTGTTTCTCTTCCTGTTCCTCAAGCTTGCGCTCCAAGTCGTGGGGGGTATAATCCTCCTTGCGAGAACCAGGTACGATCCAGGGGGCATGCGAGAACAGGTAGTTCATCTCCTCGAGAGGCAATTTCTTGGTCTCAGGCAGGAGCAGCCAGAAAAACAGTGCATTAGTGAAATTGCAAATAATGAAGAGATAGTAGTAGCGATAACGGATATTTGTCATGGCGATGGGCGTGACTTGACCGATCATGGTGTTGAACGCATACGATGTCATTGTGGCAATGGAGACACCCTTCGAACGTGTCCGCGTGTCGAATACTTCGGCAGGGATAATCCACGAAAGGGGACCGCAGGTGCACGAGAAGGAGAAGTTGTACAACCAGGTCATGATGATGAAGCCCCAGTGAGCGCCGGTGTTGTTGGTTTCAGGAGGGAACTGCGCCAGCAGGACACATGCGATGATGAAGGTGACCATGTTGCCCAGGTTGCCACCAATGAGAGTCCAGCGACGACCGAGACGATCAATGAACAGGATGCAAAGGAACTGGGCGACCAAAGCGATGATTGAATTGATGGCCTGGTACTTGAGCGTTTCGTCGCCCGAAATGCCGATCTGTTTATATATTGTCACGGAATAATATCTGCAGGGTTCTTAATGTCAGAACTCCACTGCTAGTTGTCACACATGGTGCACACTCACTGGATAGCCGAGACACCAGTCATTTGCACAGACGCTTGCAGAGCACAGCATAGGAAAAGGCGGCGGAAGGACGACCGAGAAGTGAACAGCTCAGTGTAGGACTTGGCCTCGTGCTCGTGCTCAAAGACAATGCTCTCTTGAATCTGATTGTACTCCGCGCGCACCCATGGGTCATTCTCATTACCATGAGCATGGAGCTTTGCGAGAGTCTGCAGACCCTTTTCGTTGAAGCCATGGTCAATGAGCCAACGAGGTGACTGTTCTTGCGTTAGCATCGTATTCTGGAAGAAAAGCATTCCATCTTGTTTTACCTCAGGGAAGAACATGATCAGTAGACCTAGGAAGACTGCAGGAACCATCTGCAGACCAAGTGGAACTTGCCACTGTGCGTTGTTCGATGGATGAAATCCGACGTATGTACCATATGAGATCCACGCAGCACACAGCGCACCGACACCCAGCATGAACTGCTGCAAAGCTGTCACACGGCCTCGAATCTTCGGATGGCAGATCTCGGCTTGGTACAGAGGGATGATCATGGTGAGGAAACCAACCCTAGGTTCTCCGTTAGAAAGGTCGCCATGCCTGCTTGAGGGCATTCAACCTACCCGAACCCGGCGAAGAATCTTCCGCTGTACAAGTAGGCAATCGTCCGGGCACCAGTTTGAAGACCTCCTCCAAGGCAGAAGAAGAGGCAACCGATCGTGATGGTCCATCGCCGTCCTAAATAATCACCGCTGGGACCGGCAAACGCTGACCCGAAGAAAGCTCCCGCCGTAAACATGGACACTACCAATCCACTAGGTGCTAGTCAGGCTTCATGTGCGCTCTAAACAGCAAAGGCAGATACACTCACGTCTGCGTGTCATCTGCGGCAAACTTTGACTCGAAAGATTGGCACGCAATGACTTCTGCAATGACACCCAAATCATCTTGACACCAGCCGGTCAGCACTGTGAACACTCAAAGTCCAGCAGATTGTATACATACAGCCATAAAGGAACGAACCTAGGGAGGCGAAGACGCCCACCAGGAACTAGCCGACAGATCAGTATGGAGTCAAGTACCTCAGGCATTGCCATCACATACCTGGTACCACGACGGACTCAAACGCATGGTCACACCAATAAACGATCTTGATTGACAGCAACAATGACTGTTACTCTGGGGAAAGACAACAAATGCGGAGAATAAAAGATCGTTCTGGGGTGCTCCGCAGGCCCTTTTAAGGATATCTACTCCGTGCTGGGGTTCGGGTCCACGCAATCAACTTGTAGCACCACGCGACGAAATGAAGTCAACGCCATATCGATAACCGTGCAGTACAGATTTATCACGAAGCTTCGAACACGAAAATCCGGTGGAGTAATTGCCGAAAGGGCAAGTTTTCTCGATCACCTCACGCGGAACTTCCGAATCCTGAGCAGCTTTATTGACTGTGAAAGCAACAAATCATGGAGCAAGGTCAGTCGGATTCATTCCATGGCAAGAAAAAGCCCAAAGACACACCTGGACTTTGCGGGGAGCTAGTTTGAAAGTCTGAAAGCAACAAATTGGAGCGAAGAGACTAACAAGAAACATTACCAGAGAGCAAGCGAGCTGATTGATGGAACAACTTGTGGCGTTGCCTCGGTTCCAACGCTAAGCAGACAGCACAGAAGGAATCCCCAGCCAAGTTAGCCAACTGCTGCCATCAACCACGGCGCTTGTCATCTGCTCATGAGTCAAATCATCGCTTAGAGGCCTGGATTTCCCCCGCAGGGAATTTGCCCAATTCAATGGAGCAATGGCTGAGGATAAATCCAGCATACAAGCTGGAGTTCCGGAGCGTCTTATCGAGACGATTCCGTGGCACTGCCTGGGATAACATTGATTCATTGTTATTCCTTCTTCTCCCTGCCAATCGCTCCCGTTGGGCTTTGAGCATTTTTGTTGTTGTATATACTTGACTCTTTTCTCCGGAATTTGACTGCCGAATCCCATCATGACTACCTTCACGAAGCTCAATGACCAGGAGACTCCTAGTATCTCCGTTCATGCATCTCGACGCATTTCCAAGATCAACCCTAATATTTATGCTGGGTTCACAGAGTAGGATCCAATCATGCCTGACGCTGAAGACATTGCGGCTCCGAGAGTTGTGCTAATCTATGGTCTCAGGCATATGGGCCGGTGCATCTATGGAGGCATCTATGACCCAGGCAATCCTCTGTCGGACGAAAATGGTTTCCGTAAGGATGTACTGGAAGCCCTCAAGGAGCTGAACATTCCTGTTGTTCGTTACCCTGGTGGTAATTTTATGGCTACATATCACTGGATTGATGGTGTCGGTCCAAAAGATCAACGGCCTGCAAGGTAACCTCACCTCCTGCAAGAGCCTCAGGAATTATTCTTTGAGCAAATCATAACTCAAATCATTGGTTTACAGACCTGAGCTGGCTTGGCTGGGAACCGAGACCAACCAGTTTGGAACAGACGAGTTCCTGAAGTGGTGCGAGCTTCTTGGAACAGAGCCTTACTTTTGCTTGAACTTTGGAACAGGTATGATACGGTCCAGCTGTTCTATATTGCCAATGCTGACATTTGTCTCCAGGAACTCTTGATGAAGGTAGAGCTTTTCAGCCTTGTACTTCAGTCCAGATGATAATCATGATACTAATCTGAGTGTAGCTCTTGCGTGGGTTGAGTACTGTAACGGCACAAGAGACACTTACTATGCCAATCTCCGGAGAAAGAATGGCCGTGAAGAGCCTTACAACGTATGTCGCCTGTGCTACTGGTCATTTGCCAGATACTAACATCAGCCCTATAGATCAAATACTGGGCTCTTGGTAACGAAGTCTGGGGACCATGGCAGGTTGCGCAGATGACCAAGGAGGAGTACGCTCACAAGGCCTACCAATGGGCAAAGGGTGAGATTATTCGCTTCAACGCCGCAAGAGCTAAATCGTCATGCTAATATACGTTCTAGCTCTGAAACTGCTCGATCCTACTCTGAAGTTGATCCTCTGTGGTCAAGACGGCACTGCCTCGTGGGACTACTACACACTGAAGCATTGCCTGCTTCCGGCTCACTCGCCTCTCTCTACTAGCAGCGTTCCTCTCATTGACATGCACAGTATCCACCTCTACACCTCCTCTTCATCCCATCTCCCCAACGTCACTGCTCCCCTCGCCGCTGAACGCGCAATTGAGATTACCTCGTCCCTCATCGACCTTGCCATGATTGAGAACGGTATTCCTCCTGACCAGCTGCGGCCCACAATCTGCTTTGACGAGTGGAACGTCTGGGATCCCATCCGCGCTGAGGGCAGCAAGGGCGCCGAGGAAAGCTATACCCTCTCCGACGCTCTGGCCGTGGCGGTCTGGCTCAACGTCTTTGTGCGTAAGAGCAAGGACGTCGGAATGGCCTGTATTGCACAGAGCGTCAATGTGATTTCCCCCCTGATGACGACCAAGGATGGTATCGTAAAGCAGACTACCTGGTGGCCCTTGTACCTATTCTCCAAGTATATGCGAGGCTGGACCATCAATCCACACGTTTCTTGCGGTACCTATGAGGGCGAAACGACTCCCAAATGGGTCCGCACCGTCAAGGACACTCCGTGGCTCGATGTCAGTGCCACTTTGGGAGAGGACGGATATGTCAATGTTGCTGTCGTCAACATTAGCGACAAAAAGGACATCGAGAGCAAGTTCGAAGGGGCTACTGGTGGGGTCACTGTATTCACTGTCACTGGAGACAGTATCTCGGCGTGTAACATGAAGGGAAAACAGGAGGTTGGCGTGACGGAAAGCACTTGGGACGGCAAGGGTGCCTACAGGTTTCCCAAGCACTCGTTCACTCTACTCAGATGGAAGGCTGAGTAAGTTGGGCGCTCTGAAGGCGACCCGAATTTTCTTCTTCATTGCGTTCTGTCTTCTTCGGATTTCTTTCGGTCTAATGATGCTATACGGGAATATAGAAACGGCTTAAAATAGACATAACATGACATCATTTCATCAATCTAGGACATGTCTCATCACAGGTAATTGAGAGGTGTAAAACTTTCGTATAGACCCTAAATCATCAACCAATATATTCCCGTTTCATGACTCAACCAAAGTTGACATCCTTGACTTGATCCTGCTCGTCGAGGTGGATGTTGAGTCTAGAGAATGATAAGTCATCAGCATTTGTTCATATTGACACAGGTGTAATCACTGGATAGGCATGCATACCTGTCCGGTCTATGATCCATAGTCATCGCGTCACCGGGACGAAGAACTCGATGGTGCTCGGGTAGATCCTTCTTCGCAAAAGTCTGTCCACCGTCAGCAACATGATTCAACATCAAAGTAATAGATTCAAAAAAGCCGCACATTCACATCGCTGGTAGAGTCACTGATTTTCTTGCCGGCGAGCTTGTTCAGCCATTCGCCCTTATCAGAACCCATGTCCGAGTTGATTCCAGGGACGACAAGAGGCATGGTGGACTGTGTTTGTGCAGAGAATGTTCGTATTAGTGACTTATGAAAAGGGGAGAGTTGAGGTTTTCTATTCAAGTCTGTCTTCTTGATGATTTCGGATGGTATGTAGTCTCAATTGTAGGGATTTATATAGTTGTAGGCAGCGACGATAAGCGCCCATGACGTCGTTGTCTGGGGAGATCTATATGTCCTTTTTGGGCTTAGTGCATCTGCCCCGATGATCATGACTTCAGCGTCACGTGCTTTGTCTCGCGTGCTTTGGATTGAAAAACACTACCTCTCTATCTCTCATCAAGATATGGTCAGTTTCTTTAATTCTCTATAATTTATAAAGAGTTGGGTAGTGGTTTGTGTGAGTCTCTGCATGCTTTGGAAAATCATGATCAATGTTATTAGCCAGTGAGTAGTCTTCACTAAGTGCCAGAGTCCTTCCATCTTTACATCTTATCAGACATTGTAACGAGGTCCAAGCCTTGACCATAACGCAACTCAATTCTCCTGTCTCATCCTTTGCTTCATTGAATATTCGAAGATCGAGCATAATCTGATGCTGAAATCCAGCGTTGCGTGTGTTCGTTGAAACTATACAAAATGCAAAGAAGGAAGCTGCGTCCACCACATGATCGTGCCTGCTTTTGCCAGCACAGTACCAAGCCTCAGCTGCTCAGAGAGTGACTCGCAAATGATATTCAGATTTTCCTCAGTGGTGGTTCCCCCACTCATTGTACATCTTGAGTGTTGAGGTTTTTATGGTGATTCCAGGTCGACCTTTTGGAAACCAGGATGCAAGGAAACCTACTCATCATGCTCGCATTACTTTGTAGTGCCATGTACACTCTTCAATCAGGCCCTTCCTTGGATCTGTGCTCTCCGGATCCTTCCATCACTTCATCAGCATTGCTGCCGTCACTATCCAGAGTGGTATCCGCATCGGTACCATTATCAACCGCACCGAAAGGGATTCGTTCATGGCCAAAGGATAGATGGGAAAGCATCTACAATTTCCTCAAAGATAAACTACATGTCCAGCGACTGAGCCTCAGAAAAGGTGATCGATTGAATGTCGAGCTGAGCGATGAGGCCGATACATCCGACAATATCAACCGCTTAGATATCACCATTGCTTCGGTGGACTCAACGAAAGGTCAATCCTCGATTGGAATGGAGACACGCGCAGGACCGACAAAATTGCACAGATTGGCGTCGAAAAAGACCCCTCGCACGTATACGCCAACAGCAGCTTATGTGAAAACCGCGAGCTCAACCGTGGATCCCACACCAACACCATCGCATAAGTCCCTTCTCCCGCATTGGAGCTACAGGAAGAGCTCCATAGCTGCCGCGGTCTCGATCGTATCTATTACTGCTGTGGCGTTAATAGCCCTGACTATCCTTCTCATCAGAAGGCTCCGACAATCCTGGAAGCGATACAAGAAAAGGAAACGCGATTACGCAAATTCGAAATACTCTGCAATATCTCCTCTCGACGACAACATTGGTACCTATTCATTTGACACGCCGCGGACCAGACTCGGCCGCGAATCGTCGAAATTTGGCTTGAGCCGTTCAACTACTATGCCATACGTCGCTGAAGAGGCAACGAGTTTGGGAGCCGTGACACGAGCAATTTGTGCGAACACGAATGCCATGCCAGTTTCGCCTCTTGACTCAGTTGCCGCTGTGAAGCAGTCAGAAGTCAGGCTCCCACATGTGTCTGTGCCAGAGCGCCCAAAGGAATCCGAATTGCTCACGGAGCCGTGGCGGGCTGGCTTTGTTCCGAAGCAAGTGGTCATTGTGGCTCCTCCTTTGAGTCGAATGGTGTCAGCATCAACAGCAGAGATTGGGCGGCAATCATCGTTGAGAACTATCGATGAATTGAGCTTGCCTGAGTCGGAAACAGGCCCTCAAAGCCCACACAAAAAAGCTCGACCCAAGGACGGCAACCAAACTCCGTCTACAGACGAACTTTTCCGTCTTCCATCAATCCAGAGAGTCACGTCACCTATTTTCGAATTCTGAACGTACGTGCCACTTTCGTGGAAGCGTTATCAGTCTCGCAGATCGAGATCACAAAGGCGCCATAGCTTCGAATAAAGTGCCCTTCCCCGACCTCTCAGGCACTGGTAACGTTATTCGAGAGTTTTGGATACTCTGACTTTTCCAATTAATGGGCATCCCCCGGTGTCAGACATTTTGTTTGGTCGTAGCTGTACACGCCAAAGGCATGACTGTTGAACAATACCCCTGTCGCTTGAAGAAATGGTCAAAAGAGTTGTACATTCTTGAATTTTTTTTTTTCCCCCACAGCTTGTATAAATATCGAACATGATCCCTTCTAGAAGAAAGAATGGCAGATAGTGCATTGATGCCACCATATCTCATCCTCATTTTCATCAGCGTCGTCACAGATCTAGTCGGTCATTAGAAAAAAGGCTTGAACGAGAAGGAAGTAGGCACAGAATTATTCTACAGGCAGTCAAATGGACCAGGGGCACATAAAGTCTATCTATTGTACTGTACGGTTTTTCATCTCATGTATCCGGTTCAAGCACCGTTCGAGGCGTTTCCCTCGCTCCCTTTCTCGTACCAGGGTGGACCTGACAAAGGTACGGATGGCGTCCCGGCCGACTTTCTCCCGCCAGGATGTCCACCCGGCGAGTTCCCCGACTACAACATCCTTGTTCCATGAGATTTCCCGGGAGAGGCGTCCGATTTGGACTTCAGACTCTTGGATCTTCTGTTCCAGATCGCGAACTGACTTCTGTCGGGACTCCTCCAGGCCCGGGAAGTTGATGTTGAATTTGCGGGGCAAGGACGAGGAGATGAGAGAGGAGCGGTTGCGGGAGAGATTGCGGGTTGTGGATTGTAAATTCGATATGAGCGAAATAGGGCGAGACAGGGAACCGAGTATTGCAACGGTCGTGTTGTCGATCGAGGCAAAGGCGGATAGGAATTGAAGAAGCGGAGATGAGTCTGAGGATGAGGTTGACAAATAGGAGGCGTAGCGGGCGAAAGCGTCCACATGTGAATGGGGGAGCGCGTTTGTGGGCTCCTGGAGAGTCGAGACTACAGATGAGCACAAAGCCAGCGCGTCGGCCATATCTGACGCGGCATTCTGCAGGGAATGACCACGGCGAATCAGACTGCGCGTGTTGGCGTGAAGGGCACGAACCATGTCCTGGGCGTGTGCCACGAACTGTTCTGTCTCACGCATGCCTTCAGCTGTCACAGGCGCGTAGTCATCCGCAATCGACTCGGAGAGCACCAACGCCTTGCGCCGGGACCTGTCCGTCATCATATCCGGCTGCAGCTCGGGCACCAGGAAGAACTCCCACAGCATCTCATGGGTCGCAAAGGTTGGATGGGTAAGCAGGATTTTCAAGAATCTGTCTAGTCTCTCTTGCATGTCGTGGAGAACAGACCGAGACGGTTTAGAATGAATCTGAAAAGGATTGCGAAAGTCAGAAAGGGAAGGGATATACGAGGCCGGATGCTCCATTGAGAGGCACTGAGCAAGATTTTCGAAGTCCGAGAGGGTGCGACGGCATGTAGTGACGGTGTAGGTGGTGGACCCCGCTCGAGACACGGAGGGCTGGAATGGAGAGCTTGGGGCGCCGGACTTCAAAACAAAGCGTACTGTGGCATCCTCGACGAAATACGAGCGTACAACTGTGGTGACACGACCAGATGGATCATCATATGCCGAGGGGGAATTTGAGACAAGAATGAGATCGTCAATGCGATTACGAACTTCGTCATCTTTGGCGAGCTCGACAGCCGTCAATCCGCGAGCTTCCTTGAGGTGAACGTCGACCCGGGGATCCAAAAAAAGAATACGCACTTGGTCGATACGGCCGTACTTGCTGGCCATCATCAGCGGCGTGAACTTCTTCTCGTTGGTTGCGTTTGGGTCACAATCGCTTTCCTGTAGAATTCGAACGGTGATCTCCGGATCACCAACGATATGTAGCAGTGTATTTCCCTTCGAGTCAACATGATCGTCAAGCCGCAAAGGCCTGCCGTCTCCCTGAGATCTTTGAGCGGCTGTCAACGCCTCGTTGACCATCAATTTGTAATCAGGATGATCATAAGATCTGCATAGAGCAAAGAGTGGCGTCTGGCCATTTCTGTCACGTTGTCGCCAAGGAATGAGTCTTTCCAGTCTATACATCACCGATGGCGTACTGAATAAATAGTGAGCAACTGTGCGTCCGTGCATGTCTGCTTTTTTGAGGTAACCGGCAATTGTTTGCTCGTCAGTTGTACTGAACAGAAAGTCGAGCAAAGTGCCTACCATTTCAGGGTGAGCGAGTTGCACTGCGGCACTGAGTAACGTCGTTCCATCGGTGTTCGTATCCTCGAGAATGTCTTCCAATGAGTAGTACTCTTCTAGGCTCAGCAAGTACTTGAGAGCCTCCGGCTGGCGACTGTCAACGGCCATCATGGGAATTGAATCACCCGCAGGATCTTGCGTTTTTGTCAAAGTCTCGATTGAGCTGTCCCCTTCTATTACACTGGTCATTGATTCGATGGTGGTGGTGCGAGAGAGAAGTGAAATAGCTGATGACTCGGATATACTGCGAACATCCATCGAGACCTTCTTCACAGGACGCCGAACTTCCTTCGGCGGGGAGGTGCTCGTCCACGTTTGAAATGGGAACACATGTGCCAGCGGTGGTACCTCAGAAGGACTTTCAGTTTCTTGAGCTTCACTATCTGAAGTTGAGAGCCTTCGAGGAATAGAAGGTCCTCGTAGTGGTTCATCCACGTCTCCATCCTCGTCGGTCTTGAAGAAGACTGATTTTCCTTCTGGCTCGTCCGGGGCATCGTCCATCGAGCTATGGTCACCTTTGGGTTCAAGAATGGCCCTCATTTCGGCAACTCGTCCGCCTCTAGCGGCATTCCACAGGCGCTTGTTGCGAATACTGGCTCTTCGGAGGCCCGCCGAATCAGTCACCAAGTACGTAATGACTGCCTCGAATGTGCTCAAAGCGTAACCCATTTCACCGCTATCGACATCGTCGATGTAGATGAAGTGCTGCATATACAAGAGTCTTGCTTGGAGATGTCTGACCTGGGATCTGATAACCACAATGAGTAACAAGGAGACCAGAATATCAGCATTTACGGTGACAGGCGCAATCTGTTTTTCCGACGCTTGAAGATTCGCTTTATCGTACGTTCCGGGGTACGATAAGACCTTCACTGTCTCCAGCAAAGTATTGAGCATGTCATGTGGGCACTTTGCGTCCAGCATTTTTCGAAACTCCTCAACCGCTCTCCCAAGCCGATGTAGCAACTCTCTTTTGCCCTCTCGACCTCCTTCGACAACGATACCTACCTGCGAAACATCCAGATTCTCCATATAACGGATTCTGGAATCCAGTTCTGCATCCTCGGGTTGACGGAAGCTGCATAGTCGAGGGAACAGCAGCGGTTCGTGCACTTGTTCGGCAACATAACGCTCAATCAACCGTTCTACTAGAGGTCCAGTCAGGTCGGTTGTCGCGCCGAGGAGAGACAACTGCTGTTTGTCCACAAGCCGGAACAGGTCGATTGCGGCGGTAACTGCTGTCTCCAGGCTGCGGCGCATCAAGTCCTCATCGTCTTCAAAGTACTCCTCGGAATTGAAGGGAAGCCCTTCTCTGTTGCGGGACGACGTGCTCCGAATGGAAGCGACCTCATCCACCGAAGATTCATCACGATCCCGTTTACGTTCGTAGTCATCAGGGATGGAAGGCGAGCGCGACGGAGGTGGGGGCAACGGTTTCCCCAGTTCTTTCCCAAATTCTCGAAATAGTCTGTCCAAGCCTGGCTGCATCTGTCTTGCGATCATAGGAAAATTGGCCAGCAGTTCTCCGAACGTCTTGATTTCTTTCTTCGGTAATGAAGAGACAGAATCGCCAGACTTGGCCCCAGTATTCGTGACTACTCTTTGAGGTAGCGAACCGGGCACTACGGCACAAATAATCTTCCCTGGGTCGAATAAGCCGATCAACGGGCGGGAGATGTAATAGATAAGCCATGGTTGAGAGTCGGTACTCGGAGTATAGTAGAGAGCATCGGACACGAGCTGAGCTTGGGTTAGGGATTTGAAGCCTGAAAATGTGGTTCAGCACAGGCAAAAGAAGCAGAACGAAAAGAGGCCTTCCTACCTTTATTGCTGTAAACCGAGCTCTCTTTGACAATCACGGTTCGCCCGTTGACAGTTGTCACCTGCTTTGCCTTCCCCCTGCTATCACGAACATTCGAATCATCCTTGGCATTCCCGGTAGCTCCATTGGCAATTGGTATTCGCAGCGTATGACTTCCCAGAAACTCTTCGGATACCACAAGATCGGAATAGAGGAGGTTGGACTCACGATCTCGCGACCCGATTAAGGATTCCGTGGTCGGAACGAGCAGAACCTACAGCAAAAGGTAAGAGACTATTCCCCAGGCTCAATCCAAAATGATTCCAACAAGGCATACATGATTCTCAATCGGCAGACACTGTCCTGGGACAGTGCTTCGGAAGAAGGCACGGAGAAAGGGATTTAGAGGGTGCATCCAAACGGTCTTGGACGACGGCCCGAGAAAGAAATTCTGGCACTCATCAAGCCGTTCGCCTCGATCTCAAAGGTCGGGTTTGCGCTGCACCCGGTGATCGTCACAAGAGAGGAGCAATTCCGGCGCATACACTCACTGAGTACTAACCGCGCAGAGCCGACTATTGCTGAGAACCTCAAAGAAAAGTCAAATCTATGTAATAAGTTGGACGGAGAAAATCGCACACAATCCAGGCAAAAATAGACAGCAGAAGTGAGATTCACGTAGAAACGTTTGCGATCAAAGATGAGGAGCTGAAGCCTTTCAGCCAGCAGCTTTCGGAGACCCTGGAGCTCTATGCGCTAGTCCATATTTGGTAAGCTGCGCATTATCTATGGCGATCATTGGCTTTTGGTGGCATTCAGAAGTTCTACTGGGTTTCTCAACGTCTACAATAATAACACTCAAGAAAAGACATTGACATTGGTAGT